CAAATGTGTATTATAAAATGTAATATAATTTTTCCTTTACAGAGTTTAATCGGGACTCAAAAGTTTCTTTAGATTCAATGGACATCAATAAGATTAAGTAAGAGTGGCAAATTTCCTTTGATATTCACTGCAGATCTATAGTATTGAAGTTTTACACTAACGCTCTCCTTTTAGTTGTTACACGACTCTTCAGCTCCCTTTAGATCGGATTGAAATCTCTTAAATTGAAGAGCTCGTTTGGCGCCGCTCCATATTCTAAAGCGAGATTTGATTATTGGATTTTCGCGGCAAAAGAAACAGAACTATATGCTAAGCACCAAAAGAGCTCTTGTTAGTGTCGTGCGAAAGCAAAAAATGCATCATTTTCAGATTTATAAATATATCCTTGAATGTGTTTCGCGTATCTCACTCACAAAAGAAGACACTTTCTTTTGTAATAATGATAATGCGGTGGACACAAAGTAAAAAAATCAAGCACTAGAACAAAGACTCGATTTACTTTAACACACAACTTGTAGTTGCTTGTATATTTATTTTTACTGAAACTTCTACTTTTACTTATATATATTATGTTTAACTTTTTATCATTTTTATGGTGTGTACCTTTAATATTTGTTAATATATACATTGAATCATTAATTTTTGTTCAATGATAATATTTCAAGAATTGTAACATTCGATGGTTTTGACAACTGCAAGTGATACAGATTTACAGAGTTTCAATAAGACTCCAACCAGGCTCTTTATGAAAGAACACTACTTTTACCTTGATAAAACTGCGTCTCTTCGAATAATTTTCTATATGTGGTACAAGTTTTGGAGAATGTTGAAATAACAACATTACCTTTTCATTTTGATAAGCCGTGACGGCGATAAAATCAGTCTCTTTAAACACGTAAGTACGGAACATGCTGTAAGGGAGCTTAAGAATGTCATTCGTCCGTACTAGGTGGAACCTAGGTTGGTACTTGTGCATAGAGTTCAGGATCGTCTAGCGAAAGAAGAAAAATCAAGTTTGAATATTAGGACTGAATTGAGGACGTATAAAATATTCACATGTAACACGTGAAAATCTACATAAGTATACTTGATGTGGGCCTGTAAAAATCCACAAAAAACAACAAAATATCATAATTTTATGATAGACATTTATAAAACCTCTATATACATAAAATACGCTAAATAGTTTATGACCGATATCTCTAAAGCCTTCTGCAGTGGGTATACATGAAATATCACGCGTGTGTCAAACATCACCAAGTCTGTTTTACTTTGAATATTGATCACAATAGATTTATTCATCATATACTTTATAGGTCTATTAATCATGGGTTCTTAGGAATGCTTCAGTATTTTGGGCATGAATGTAACACAGGATTTACAGCATTTTTAGCAATAATTCCGTTTCTACATTTATGTTAAGTACTATACTAACTGAGATACTAAAAAGTTGCCAAAATAAAGTAGAGTAATGTTTAATATATGTTATCAGTATTAATTATTTAATACAATGGCCAATGAACTGAACTACCTGTTTCAAAAGCACACGTGAATCATAGTAAGAAAATTATTTGGTTAACTGATATGGAGAATTAAATTAAAATATGTATAAATCGACCACATTAGGGAAATTACTCTGTCTCACAAGCTTTCAAGGTCCTGACAAATCTAAATCTGTCAAAAGTGAAAAACAAAACTACGCATTGTACAGTGAATCTTCTCCCACAAAAAAAAATATTACAGACAGCAGGTACAAGGTGTTGTCATTTGAAATTCTACAAATCTTGTGTAACTTTCAAACACTTTCATAGCAAAACAATGAGTCAATATTCTGTAAATATACAAGTTAACAACTGACTAGATATGTTTTATTAGATTAGATAGAGACACAACAGCCCACAGATGCCCAGTTAAAATGATAGATGCATCATTGTCTTACCAAATATGCCATAACAAATATAAACTTCGGATATACAATGGTCAGAGTCTATAAACAATATTATATATTGTTTTGCTAAGTGAAAGAGTAGCAATTTATAGATACAATTAAAGTTGCCTGGTCATGAGCGTTAAGACGACATCTTCAAGTGGCAAAGAACACAATAGAAAAGCAGCACATATATTCATTAAAGTTGCCTGGTCATGAGCGTTAAGACGACATCTTCAAGTGGCAAAGAACACAATAGAAAAGCAGCACATATATTCATTAAAGTTGCCTGATTAGGAGATTATTTAGTAAAATAAGATAAAATTGTTCACTTTCATTTTATTTATTGATAACTTAAATGTTTAAATAAATGTCATATTGAATTTCACAGTTATTTATGTTATCCTAATCCTGTAAAGTACAAACGTTTATTTCTTCTTCGTTTATGACCAAAGCCACAGAAGTTTTCGGATACATGAGATGGGGATTGGAAATGTTGTTTTAAGCTAGTATCTAATATCCATGTAGTTTTTACCCTCGACCCTCGGAGGGGGAGGCGAAGATATTATATTTTGGTCCGAATGTATGTATGTTTTCAATAGATAAAATTCGTGCCAATTAGAGCATTCTAATTCTCTTGAAAGGTTTTTGGAAGAAAGAAAATCAAAATATTTCACCAGGTATGAAAAGTAAATCTACTTGCCCGAATTCTTACTTTCATCTTTCCAATTTTTTTAGAGCTTGAGATAAACCAAAAATAAACGGAATATTGATGATGGCAACAGCTTGTTTAGTAGTTTTAGTCGATTTATTGGAAATATGTGATAACTCTAAAGATATATCTAACTAATTACGTTAAAGAGATGTTGCTGTTGCTTTTTCAGTTTAAAACTGAAAGTTGAACACATCAGAGACAAGTTTCTTAATCCAACTGTTGTTTCGCTGTTCTGATTTTTTGTCACCTGAGGATTCCCTGGTAACTTAATGAAAAGGGGTGGTATTTGCGTTTATATTGAATTATTTTTGTGTGCAACACGTCCTTGCTTTATGTATTTAAAACGGCACTAAGTAAATCACTGGAAAACACGTTATTCAGTGACGGCCCCAAGACTTTAATTGTGGATATTAGTTAAAAAAAAACACATGATTTCTCTCATTTTCTGTCTTATGTCATTCCTAGCATTGAATTGTTGTTTAACTAAGTGATATATATATATATATATATATATAAATTAAGAGCTCATTCGTATAAAATTTATAGAAAATATTTACATGTCTTTCTTTGAAATAAACCTTATAACCTTAAGCAACAGTAACCTCATTCTGGTCTTATTCCAATTGTGAATATATACATGGTAGTGGTAGCGTCTGTAACATTTAAAAATTATGTTTACAAATAAACCTTATAACGATAAGCAACAGTAACCTCATTTTGGTCTTATTCCAATTATATATATACATGGTAGTGGTAGCGTCTGCAACATTTAAAAATTATGTTTACATATAAACCTTACAACGATAAGCAACACTAACCTCATTTTGGTCTTATTCCAATTATATATATACATGGTAGTGGTAGCGTCTGTAACATTTAAAAATTATGTTTACAAATAAACCTTATAACGATAAGCAACACTAACCTCATTTTGGTCTTATTCTAATTATATATACATGGTAGTGGTAGCGTCTGTAACATTTAAAGATTATGTTTACAGATACACCTTATAACGATAAGCAACAGTAACCTCATTTTGGTCTTATTCCAATTATATATACGTGGTAGTGTCTGTAACATTTAAAGATTATGTTTACATATTACAATATTATGCCACAATATGTACATAAAATTAACAGAATGTACAAAGAAAGTCGGACCGAATTTAGCGTGTATATTGTAACATGTACACTGATGCTTTATTTTTTGTTTAGGAATAATAAATGATGATTTAATTTTGCTCCGCAGATGTTGCGTATATGACTGGGTTTTGGTTTTAGTTTGCGTGTTCGTTGTTTCTTGTGTATATATACGTAGGTTCACTTACATTTGCGATAGAGAATGACATTGCTGAGTTCAAGAGATGGTCTTTTGGTGTGTGTGTCATGATCAATATCTTTATATAATGAGTAATACTGAACGCAATTTCCTCTGGTATTATTTTTAGTTCATTTTATGTCAAACTGTCAAAATATCACAACTTCGGAGATTAAAACAATCTTGCTATCGTCATAACAGATGGAAGAATGAAACCAAAACAACATTTTACAGTCTGGTATTTGACTTGTGGCCATCATGTTGATTCACGTGTTGCTAATTCAAACGATACATCTCATCAAGACATGGCAACTCTCGTGAAGAGTCTACCATTTCTGTTGTTTCTTCTATAGTTATAATTTTAGGATACCACTATTTTTATGTCTTCTTCATAACTATTAAATCTCAATTGGTTTATGGCAAATTAGAATAAGGTGAAGGCTTTGTTTTGGGTAAGTATTTAAGTTTCTAATACAGTAAATATCTATGTTTAAAACCTACATTTCCCATTATACATGAATAACATAAACAAAGTAAGAACAAATTAAAACAAAAAATAGATATATAATAGATTGAAATATTAGAGAAACAAAAGATATTATCAGAGTGATATGGGATTTGAATAATAAAAAAATGCTTAAAGTAGTTGTAGGGAGAAAACATGTGATTAATATTTTGGCTATTCTGTGAAGAGTCCAAAAGAGATATCTTGCTAAGTTATTGGCACACTTTATTTCATTTTTATGCAATTTCAACTTTTAGTTTTCTCTTTTATTTTCAAAAATTCAAATCAATATAACTTGAAGACAAACTGGTAGGAAAACCGCAGCTTAACTATCAAACTTAAAGCCAAACCAGCTGACTTAAGGGCTACAAGAAGAACAATCATTCACAATTATTTTCTTTAAAAAAAAACAATAACAACAAAGTTCTTAATATATAGTATTTCGAAGTATATTATCCGCATGATTATTAATTAACATGTATAGTAATGTTTTTACTTTATTAGGTTTAGCCCCCAAAATTCCGAATCCATGATTAAAATTGATGTAACTGGGATGGTTATTAACACTGTGATTCATCTAATAGTTGATCAGTTTAAAAATAGAAGTAGAGCTAAGAATCTTGTCAGCAAGACATTGAGTAGTTGTTTTTATTTTACAGTGTTTCATTAAATTTTACGATTTGATTTTTGATACCTTTTGATACCTTGATAATACTTTTCGGAGTTTTCTTTATTGTGAGCGAATCATGAAAAAACCTTTGACCGGTTTGGGTTTCAGGATTGCCAGGTTTTAACTATGGTAGGTTTCTCTTCGTCCCTACCAAAAGCAAATAGTGGTTGCAGTGGGCCTCATGCCCACCCGGCCGGTGGATCCCGTTCGTTCTACCTGCGGTAAACAGTTCGCTACCATTACCCGACGTAAGATGGTACATTTGGAACGGGTCTATTAAGGTAACACAATACTAACTAAGGATTAGAGCTACAGGACACCGAAAAGACCCTGTTTGGTCATTGAGGGAAAACTATATTGCTTTGGGCTAAACGTGTTAGGGCACTATGAAGCATCGATAGCGAACAGTTAGGAGTACGATAAGTAAACAACATACCAACTAAACTGAGTTCCCTGCCCGAAATCCACCCAAAGCCACCGCCTCTGAAATTAGTAAAAACAAATATTAACGACCCCCTCAAGACTTAAAATGACTCATCTCAGGCGTTTGTTTGGACTGTGGCTACCAAAGTGATCATCATGCCGCTAACGCATGCGCGATCGTGTATGCACAGACAGACAGACCTCTATGTGGTTATTTCTACGAGAACAGAAAATTAAGCTTCTAAAACCCTGACTAAACTACTTCAGCATTCTATTTAATGTGTGGTTTCAAGCTATAAACAGCAAATAAAAAGTACCAGATATAATCTAGCATGGAAAGAAGGCTAATTAGGCGACTTAACGGACAAGTTAAGCCTTGAAGAGAGAGATACGATATCGAAGTAGCTTCACTTACAAAGCCATGTTTATCCGAGATGTTATTGGTGAGCTTTAGCTTGTGGAAGGACACCACTTTTTGCATCCACTGTTCTCCTGTACAAGGTGAGTCTGGGTGTATATACATCCGCTTGGGCATTTCCGGGTCAGCCTTGCCGGCCAACATCCAGCGGCTGTTGTGAAACTTGTACCTGCAGTCGTCAGCTGCCACGATGTCCATCAACATGATGTATTTAGCTTTCTTGTCCAAGCCGGAAACTCGGACTTTGAAAGCGGGAAACATTCTCCTGAACAAAACCAAGAATGTGAACAAAAGTTTAATAAAATGATTTATCGATTGAATACATATATAATACAGTGACTGGTTTTATAGTATTAATGTGATTTCTTTCTTTCGGACTATAATTAAAATTTAGCCAAATTTATGTAATAAAATGATTATTTATTTCTAACACAAAATAAAGATATTTTACTCAAAGGTAATAACTTCTCAGAAAATGTTCCTTTTTATGTTTATCTAAATACAATTACATTTAATGAAAAAAAAACATTTGCTAAATGTTCATGAAAACGAGAAATATATTTGAAAATGATATTCCATACATAGTATAAATGTATATAAAGTATAGTGTTTAGTATACCCAAAAAGATAAGTTACTTATAATTGTTCCTCTATAAATGTACACACAAATTACTCTAACATTCATACTCTATACAAAATATATTTCGCTGTTTATAAAACTAAAGTTTAACCTCCAAAAAAACATTTTTTGATTTTTCTTTATCCTTTCGAGATATCAAATATTATTTATTCCTTTTTACGCGCTATTATGTAAGTGTAACTTTTACAAGTCTACAAGCTAGAAAAACAACATTATATTACAATTATTGCGAGTTCCCTATTAACAGTTCTCAATGCGTCTTAAGTTTGTGAAAAGCTGAGAATGATCAGTGATATCTGACTCAGCTAAATTCTTAATTAAATTTTCGCTAAATGCTATGATAATAATTTTTACTATTCATGCACGGTGAAGGATAATTTAATGTTATTAGAATATTAAAAGCTGGGGCTCATTGAGCAAATGATAACATGAGAAGTGGTGAAAAAGGTGTTCAGCATATCACATGTTTTTAATGTAAAGTCATACTTCATCAATTCCTGTGTTTCTTATGGCATAACTTATCATTTATATAGTGTATACGATAATGAGACGATTGGTTATACAGATTGAATTGCAGCTTCATTTCATCACCACTAGTAAAAACAGACATCGATCGAAGCGGTGCACATCCTAACCAAATAATTTAAAAAAAACCTGTAATTAGTCTTCATTACTCAATCAAGCCGAAAATATGCCAATTAAATTAATTCAAACATTTTCTACTACTCTTTCGACAGCTAAAAATAAAACCATTTCTAAGTAAACGATTGAATGAAGCTTTCTGACATCAACCAACTAAAAGTTATTAAGTGCTGACATTCGTTAAAAAATGGTCCAATGAAAGCTTTATTTGTTTATGTTTATCTGCCGCTTATTCAATACTATTTACTTATAGTAAACCATGCTGTAGTTCACTCAAGAATATTCAAAGGTCATCTGGTGACATCCACAGTAATTTTTGAAATAAGTAAGAAGTGGAGAAAGATGGGTATGAAATAAATGTTATGGAGTTAAAAGATAGATGGTTGAACTTACTCTTTGAGGTAGAACCTTTTGGTAGAGAATTAACCTTCGTTACTGGTGCCTTCAAACACCATATTCAGCCCATCTAAGATGTCATCTCTGGGGTGGAGTGATAAATTTGAAATATATTTCTAGATTATGATATCTGATTCTGTTATATTCCAGTCTTTTAGTGCGTATGTGAATAGAAAACGTATTTTCAAATCTAATTCTAAATATGACCACTTCAATTGGCATGTATAAATATTTTCTGAGCGCTTTTGGGTTGTTATTTTTAGTTTACATTAAATTGAGTAAGTATGCAAACAACATAGACTGTAAAACAAATAATTTTTTCATAGCACAGTTTTCCTGCCAATTTATATAAACTTCATCTTGATCCTTGTATATGCATACATTTCAATTACATTTGTAATTCGCAGGAACTGAATTGAAAATCTGGTAGCAAACCTAAATTGAAAACAGAGTCCATATGTATCCCACCTGAGTAAATAATCTCCTAATGCCTTAGTGTTTTACAGGAGCCAATAACAATATAGTGTTCAATAAATCCCACCTGAGTAAATAATCTCCTAATGCCTTAGTGTTTTACAGAAGCCAATAACAATATAGTGTTCAATAAATCCCACCTGAGTAAATAATCTCCTAATGCCTTAGTGTTTTACAGGAGCCAATAACAATATAGTGTTCAATAAATCCCACCTGAGTAAATAATCTCCCAATGCCTTAGTGTTTTACAGAAGCCAATAACAATATAGTGTTAAATAATATAATGATATAAAAATTAAATACATTTGAAATACTTTTATTTTTTAGTAGATTATACTTTAACAAAACATTAACTGTTAGTGGACGTAGTTACTGATGTATGTATATATATAAGTACATCATCGAATAACGAATACAACGTGACTGTTAACCAGCTAGATATGCAAGGTTTTATTAAATCGTGTTTCTAACTAGTCTAACCTGACAACCAGTCAGCCAGATGTACGATGTTTTATTACACATTGTTTCTAATAAATGCAACATGACAACTAATCAGCCAGGTGTACGATGTTTTATTAAACATTGTTTCTAATGAATGCAACATGACAACTAACCAGCCAGGTGTGTGATGTTTTATTATACATTGTTTCTAATGAATGCAACATGACAACTAATCAGCCAGGTGTACGATGTTTTATTAAACATTCTTTCTAATGAATGTAACATGACAACTAACCAGCCAGGTGTGTGATATTTTATTATACATTGTTTCTAATGTATGCAACATGACAACTAACCAGCCAGGTGTACGATGTTTTATTAAACATTCTTTCTAATGAATGTAACATGACAACTAACCAGCCAGGTGTGTGATGTTTTATTATACATTGTTTCTAATGAATGCAAAATGACAACTAACCAGCCAAATGTTTGATGTATTATTATACATTGTTTCTAATGAATGCAAAATGACAACTAACCAAACAGGTGTACGATGTTTTATTATACACTGTTTCTAATGAATGCAAAATGACAACTAACCAAACAGGTGTACGATGTTTTATTAAACATTGTTTCTAATGAATGCAACATGACAACTAACCAGCCAGGTGTGTGATGTTTTATTATACATTGTTTCTAATGAATGCAACATGACAACTAACGAGCCAAATGTGTGATGTTTTATTATACATTGTTTCTAATGAATGCAACATGACAACTAACCAGCCAGGTGTGTGATGTTTTATTAAACATTGTTTCTAATGAATGCAACATGACAACTAACCAGCCAGGTGTGTGATGTTTTATTATACATTGTTTCTAATGAATGCAACATGACAACTAACCAGCCAGGTGTGTGATGTTTTATTATACATTGTTTCTAATGAATGCAACATGACAACTAATCAGCGAGGTGTCCAATGTTTTATTAAACATTGTTTCTAATGAATGCAACATGACAACTAACCAGCCAGGTGTACGATGTTTTATTAAACATTGTTTCTAAAGAACGCAAATGATAATTAAACAGCCATATGTATGAGGTCTCATTGTGTTTTCTTATTTTTAAAACAAAAAAAAATTCCATGTGTTTAGTAGTAAAAATTGTTAGTACACTTGTCATATTATGTTTGTTAGTTAACGCTTACTTGTGGTGTCAGTTTTTCAACTCTGACTTAATCACATCTCAATTATTGTATTGATGTTTGTACGCAGTAAAGTTAATTTACTTTCTATCTCCAATAGGTTTTAATTCAGTGTTTCACTATGTTATTCAACGATAATTGCATATGTATAACACTCTTAATCCTCCTGTACTTTTGAAACTAATAGGAACTTAAATTCTACATGGTGGCATGTAACAGAAAATATCTCATATTTTACATCCAGCTATTCTTATATCAAGTTTGACCAAAATAATAGAAAAAATTACCGCGGAAGTCTTTATAGCTTACATCATAAATATTTAAATGAGAGGTTCTTAATATTTAAAAAGTGCAATTATAGTAAGTGTACGTAAACCCTGTAATTGAGCAAGTCATCTTCACTACTCTCTCCGCCCAGCCCTCAAGAAGAAGAGACATCCATATTAAAGAGGGAGATATAATGTATGTAATATTACGTCACAATAATATTGACATGGCAGTAACCTTTATTGACCCAATAAGGATTTACAATAAGAAGCGTCCTTACTAGCATTTTAACCATACGCCCCTTATTTTAAGAATACCACTGTCGTCTAAGCACAACAAATACAACGCGGTTGAAATGTTATTATAACCCTCCTGACCCGTACTGGGCCAGTAAAGAATAATGTGACTTAGATAATCATAACCAGCTCCTACTCTTTTGTAATACAACACATACATTACCGTACGTATTATGCTTCTTATCAGAGGAGTTTTACACCATAACTAAGTGTTTGAATTATGAAAAGTTCTAAAAGTTCCTTGAGCTTTAATTGCAAGATCCGTTCATACACGAGCGCTAATACCTAGCTTAGTGATGTTTAATCTAAATGACTGAAGCTAACGTTACCCTCACATGTAATTGAACACAAACATAAGAAGGTAACGTTACTATCACACGTAGCCTATGTTATAAAGTTAGGCATAAGGTAACATTGAAAACATCGGTGAAGAGAGAGAGAGTGTGTGTGTGTGAGAAAACAGTCGGCCTTTGGCCAGTCTCTAAGTAATCAGAAAAATTATTGGAGTGAGTGGCCGTTTTTCTAAATTCAGCTGGTATGAAGGCCACAAGACTCCTTGGGGTTATGATAGTTATAATCTGATATATGGGAAACAGGTGCAAGTTCAGAAAAAAAAGAGACGGTTCGATGTGGGTTTGAGAAAATAATGTAAAAGAAGCAGTTCAACGATAGAAATAAAGAAAACCGGGAGATGTGAGAAAGAATGAATAAACTGAAGAGCCGAAGGAAGAAAGTAATATGTTGCCAGTAAGAAGCAAAATCTATTTGTAAATCTATTGTGCCATTGATTACCAGTAATAAACAGCAATTCATTGTGTTTGCATTGGTAGAAGTCAATTCCTGATAAGAAAGGGAAGCGAAGTGCAAGTATAGCAGGATCATAACAACAACAACAAAAAAAAAA